GCAGGAATCATAGGATCCCAGCAAGTTAAACATCCAGATGTCTTTTGAAAGCGTTCAGAGTAGGTGCTTGAACCACCTCCAGCGGCAGTCTATTCCAAACCTTGGGGGCTTGGACAGTAAAGAAGTTCTTCCTTATGTCCAGCCTGAAACGGTCATGGAGGAGTTTGTGACTATCTGACCTTATCATTCCTTGGGGTGCTCTGGTGAACAGACGTTCCCCACATTCTGGTGGTCACCCCTGATAAACTTATAGGTGGCCATCAGATCACCCCTGAGCCTGTGCTTTTCCAGGCTGAAGAGTCCCATGGCTATCAGCCTTTCTTCATAAGGTCTGCTTTCCTGACCTCTGATCATGCGCATGGCTCTCCTCTGCACCCTCTCAAGCTTCTCCATATCCTTTTTGAACTGTGGAGCCCAAAACTGGATGCAGTACTCCAGCTGCAGCCTCACCAAGGCCAAGTACAATGGGAGAATGACATCCTGGGATTTACTTGAGAAGCATCTGTGGCTGTAAGCAAGCATTTTGATTGCTTTACTAGCAGCAGTATCACGTTGCAGGCTCATGTTCATCTTGTGGTCAATCGTGACCCCGAAGTCCCTTTCATCCATTGTGCTAGCCAGCGTAGCACTGCCGATCCTATAAAGATGCTGCAGGTTTTTCCTCCCAAGGTGGAGAACCTTGCATTTTTCAGCATTAAACACCATCAGGTTCTCGTCCACCCATTTCCTGAGCCTGTCAAGGTCAGCATGGATCACCCTTTTGTCCTCAGGTGTGGATGCTTTACCCCAGAGTTTGGTGTCGTTGGCAAACTTGGCCAGTCCACTTCTGATACCAATGTCCACATCATTAATGAAGATGTTAAATACTACAGGCCCAAAGACAGCCTTGGGGGACCCCACTGGTTACAGGGCACCATGACGATTGACTTCTGTCAACCACCACCCTCTGGGTCCTACCATGGAGCCAAATCCCCAGCCAGCGGATTGTGGTGTGGCCGAGGCCGCAGTTAGCCAGTTTTACTAAGAGGTGATCATGGGAAACCAGATGGAAGGCTTTTTTAAAGTCAAGATATATAACATCAATCTCTTCTCCCTTGTCCAGGTGATAGGTCATTTGGTCGTAGAAGGAAATGAGATTGGTCAAACAAGATCTACCTACAACAAACCCATGCTGGCTGTCCCTCAAGGTGTAGCCATCAGCCAGACTGTTAAGAATGGCCTCTTTGATAATCTTTTCCAAGACCTTCCCCAGGATAGAGGTCAGGCTGATAGGCCTGTAGTTTGCTGGATCCATTTTCCTCCCTTTCTTGAAGATAGGCACCACATTGGCCTATGTATAGTTACCCTCCCACTTTAATTTCCAGTGGGAAGATCTTGGCTTTGCGCCCTCTTTAGAGAACTGGGAGACTCCTCCTAGCTTGCTCCTGCTGCCATATGGCTGAGGGCAAGCAAAACCCGGGGGCATCCAAAGCACAAGCCTCTGGGCTTGGGCCTGCATGTAGGATGCCCGCTAAATAATTTGGAAACATCTGAAGCCCCAGGTGGGGGTGGAGGATATTTGCCGGTAGTAGGGCCATATATGGTTCTTGAATGACTGACAGATTTCAAATTGATTTGGCTGATTTGGCTCAGAAAACAAAAAATTTTCCTTAAAAAAAAAATCCTACATGAGGTCTGAATCCCCTACCAGTTCCCTCCCAGCCTTCAGAAATGATCCACATGGCCTGTCAGTGGGCTGGAGCAGAGATTCTTAACCTCTGCTTCACAAGATGACACAAGATCATTTTAAGGGTGTTTAAAATATGCAGTCAGTTGACTGGTCCATTAACAATATTTGACTGGTCAATTGGCCAGCTTGCCATCCCTAGTCATTTCTACACCTGAGTTAATAGGACCACACCTGAGTTAAGATTTTTAGCTAGAGCTAAAAGTGGTCTGCAGGGCTGTGAAATAGCAAAGACATGACCAGAAGGGCTAGCAGACAGAAACTTTGCAATAGAAAGGGTAGTTTGAATAGTGGAATATCAAGACCACTAAAAAGGAGAGAGAGTCGCTCACACCTGTGGAGTAGAGAAAGATTAGCAGAAACTAGGGAGATTACAATGAGCTTAAAGTCAATTGACTCCTTCAGTTTCCATCATAAACCACATGAAGCTCCCAACCCCAGCCCCAGACTGATGCAGTGCATGAGCATTTACTTCCACAGGTCTTTAGAAGAGCTCAGACCAGGGCTGTCACACGTTTGCCTGGCAAGCTCTTGTCCTGGCTCTGGCCATGGTAGCTTCACATTGCTACAGCACAGACCTCACCAGCAAAACTCATGGAGGTAGCTGTGGCCAAGAGGTGCCGAATGTCCAGGGGCATTGGTGAGAGTCCAAGTGCTTGCAGAAGGCTCGTTGTTTCGAATTCCTCTGTGCCACTTCCAAGAGCTGCAGGAAGTGTTTGTTGAACATAAATAATATCCCCCCCTCCCAAGAACAGTTTGCAGCACAGTATTATAGACCCACAGATTTCAGGGTTGAGAGATGCTGAAACTGGCTCTTGAGGTGCAAAAGACATAACAATGTGCATCCAAGTGCAGATGGAGCCAGCTGAAGAGATCACAGGTGTCCATGACAAAATGCCAGGTGCAGCCCACGGCCACCTGAGAAGCAGGGCTGCAGCCTTCCATCCCCCTGGGTTAGATACACCCAGCTCTGGGATGGCTCAGGCATGAGTCTACTTTGAAGAGGGGTGGACTTCTGGGGACCTTTTCCAGCCCTATTTTGCCTTGATTCTATGATCCTAAGTGACCTTCCCCCACAGCAAAATTTTTATGCCTTGCTGGGCTGAAAACCAATGTATGTTTTGTCTCTTTTGTAAAATTCTCCTTTTCTGAGCGGATCTCATGGTTGTGGGTCCACATTTCACTGCTGGTGGTGGCCAAGTTCATCATGCGCCCAGCAGGCTCATCTTAGAGGCTCATTTCCAAAAAATCGTTCCCCTTCTCCTGGCCCTTTTCTTGCCTCACCTCTACTCTTTACCTGAAATGGCAACATGGGGGTTTCCCCACAGGTACAAGAAGTACCAGATCTGGTGTTTCTGCTGCTGGAACATCCTGAGAAAAAATGGAAAGTCATGCTCATTGTGCCCTAAGGGCGGGGAAAGTCTCCATCTGGCAGCAGCTATGATGAGAAGCAGGAAAAGGTGATTTCCTCTTTTTTCTTTTACTTCTGAAACTGTGCTGAGGCTGAGGAAGTCTCAGCCTTGTTTCTCAGGGACTTTCCCCCTCCTCCCTCTGCTGCTGAAGCCATGGGCCTGACCTGGGGAGTATGGAGGGGAGGGTGCTTCTAAATGAAGCCCCCGTTCTAAACACAGCTACTTTGCTGTCGCCCAAATGAACTGGGCAGTTTCCCTGGATAAGGCCCAGGCGCTGCACTTTCACTGGAGCCAGTGGCCTGGTGCACACAAGTTTGCCCAAAGATAGGTTTTTTCCCCCCCTGAAAAACACCACTTTCCCCCATGCATCCACCCCCTGCTGGAACTCCCACTCTGTGATTTGGTTACTAGAGGCAGCATTGCTGTAGAAGTCTTTCCAGGTTGTCATTCTCTGGCCCACTGCAGAGAGCCCTGGGCCAGGACATGGGAGATATGGGCTCTACCACCACTTGACTGTGTGATCTTGGCCATATTACTACTTGCTGTGCCTTAGTTTCCCTCTCCAGCCCCTGCTCCTCATCTCTTTACATGGTGAATGCTGTGGGCTGGGGATGCTCTTTGGCCGTGGGCTTGTACAGCTCCTGTTTTCCAATGTCTCCCAAAGCCTCTAGGGGCGTCTGTGGCACATGTAGATGAGGACCCCTGGCTCTTTCTGTAAAGGAGCCATCCACCGGCCTGACCCCTCTTTTACAGGTCGTCAGCTTCAAGGAGGCCCCTTCTGTTCTGTCTTCCAGAAAAGGCGATGATGACATCCTGACACCTCCCATCAAGGTCCTCTACTGTTAACTGTGTGGGGGCAGTCCGATGAAGGGTTTGGCCAACTTGGCAGGCCCAAGGCATCATTCCTAGGAGTGGGCGTGGCTACAAAGCAGGCACCAGCTCCATTCGGCTGCCCTCATGAACCTCCCCTGACCTTGCAGCACATGAGCACAGATCTGGCTTGCACAGGCTGCCTGGATGGCAGAGGATGATAGCAACCCCCCAGTCTTGCAGGGTTGAAAGCACTTCAAAGGTAGCACTGGAGGCAAGACATCGTGGGACTGTATTCTGAGATCAGCTATGGAGCAACAGCAGAATGTGTGGCCACAGGGAGGGGAAACTTTCCAGCTCTGTCGCCCCCCAGCCAAGCAGCAATCTGGCTTCTCTGCCCAGACGATCCTGGAGCTCTCTGCTAGCCAGCTCTTTTTGGAGCCCCTTGGTCAAGCACAAAAATCCAAATAGAGAGAGTGGAACAAGCTGCCAAAGGCACTCAGGAGAAAGAAAGAGCAAGCTTGCTTCACTAAACTGCAACCCTGGTTCATTGCCATCTCATGGGCAACCACCCTATGTGCCAGCCTGAGGCAAATGCTGTTGGAGTCTGAAAAACCCCTGCAATGATGGAACAAAGACGACTTTTACTTCAGAGTTTGCTGCATTTTCAAAGTGATGTCCATTGTCCCCACAGCGGAGACCTTCCCCATGTGATGTGTGGGTTTCTTCTGGGCTCTGTACAGCAGTTTTTTTTTCCAGCTTGGACTGAAGCAACCTTTTTAGTTGCTTGTTCAGCCACAAAGTGAGGTGGAGAGCAGTCCCATGGAGCTGCCTTCATGCCATGGCCACCCCGGGGACCCATGACCTTTCTGAGCCTCCAGAGCCTGGGAGAGGGCCCATTCATGTCACACATGGTGCATGTGTGTGCTTTGCATGCATGTGTATCCTTTGCCTTTGTATTTCTGCAGCAGGGCATTGGACGGCAACGTCATGGGGCAAGGTCTGTTGGGAATGGTGACACGTTTTCTTTTTGGGTGCATGTTTCACATCTTATTGGGTGCACAAGTTTTGCATGGGGGAAAGGGGGGGGCATTGGGGGCAGGAGTGGGACAGGGGATCTTCTGGAGGTTTCATGGCAGTGAGTCGTGTTGTGAGCAGCGTTGTACTTTGCAATAAAACTTCCTGGTTGTTGCTGGAAGGCTCCAGCCTTGGGACCATTACCAGAGTGGGGTGAGAGGCCAGGGCTCCAATACCAGTTGGAAGGGACTACAGGAGCTCACACCTGGTCCAGCTCCCTGCTTGTGGGGGCAAAGCCAGGACCCAGCCCCGCTGCAGAGGGGCCTGGGCTGGATGCGCCTGGCATGGCCCAGGCATGTCCTGCGATGGGGGCTGGTACCTGGATCTCCCTGCCCTTCACGGGAACTCAAAAGTAATAGCCAAGAGGTGGCAGGGGGATGAGACAATCCCAGTGCAGCTCAGCAAGAGCTCACTCAGGGTGGCACCAGGTGGGACAGGGAAGAAGGAAGGGAGCAGCTCCTGGAGAAGCTGGGTGGGGGGTGATAAGGACTGTGTGTGCTGTGCACTGAGCCTGTCAGGGAAGAGTGGGGTCACTCAGTGCCAAAAAAGAGAGGCTGAGCAGGGCACTGTCCCTGCCCCCAGGGACACCAGCAAGGCTCCTGCTAGGCCAGGGGGCACAATGCGAAGGCAGGAACCCTAGTGTAGACACAGCTACCCCACAGAACGAGCTTGGCTTGTGGGAAGCTGTTGCCAGGCACGCTGTGATGTGCAGCTCTGTGCATATGGGGTGACTTGCCCTCCACCTGCATGCTGCAGCCATGGTCAGCACAAATCTGCATGGGGCCCAAGGACTCAGACCCATGCAAGGAAACTCATATGCATGTGCAAAGTGCCACGCACAATGTGAACTGCTCTTGACGCTGCACAAACACTCACAGCTGCTGGGGTGGACCTTGCCGGTTTGCCGCTTACTTTAATACTGAACTCAAGCCTGTGGGTCTGGTCCGTGCAGCGCCTGTGTAATGCAGCCAAATCCATCTCTTGCAGATGTGGCCAGCACTGGAGGAACAGCAGTGTCCTCACGTTCATCCTTCCAGTCAAGTCCCTGCTCTGCACAGTTCCCTTCGTGGCTTGTTCCAAGTGCCCCACAGGCAGGAAACAGCGGTGACCCCCACATCTTCGCTGGGAGCTGTGACAGTGCAGAGACCCCTGGCTGAGAGATTCACCAGGCTGGCAGAGGTCCTGCTCCCTGGAGTTGTGTCTAGGAAAGGTGTGGTGACAGCATGATGCTGTCCATTGCAGTGTCTGCAGTGAGGAATGGACCTGAGCCCCTTAATGGACCCGAACCTCGCCTGGCTCAGTCCTGTCCCCTCGGACCTATGTGCAGCACCAGCCTCAGCCTCCCTGCTTCGACCACCCCGCAATGGAGA